ATATTTTATAGAACGGGTATATAATGGCAGTGAAACAAAGCCAGAGTCCATTATAAACATAATAATAAACTCCAGGGTAAGCATTAAGAACTGAAATGTCACACCTAAGGTCATGAGACACTTCAGTGTCGGAACACATTTGAGGGGTGACAGGGCAGGCCCTGTTTTGCTGCCTCGTTATTAAACAAAAGTGATGGAATATTAAATTCCCAGTAGCCTGGAGCATCCAAAGTTTTACTTATTGAACCATGGTTACAAAAATAAAATCCGAGAATAGCTAGCTAACTACACGGACATGTCCCTCCGGTAGCTACAGATAGTTTTGCATGAAGACAATAACAGAAAGGCCTTCTACAGAAAGAAACAAATTAAACCATAATTACCAAAGAAAACTATCTGTTGGGATTAATAATGACACCTCACCCCGCCATTTAAAAAACCTCTATTCACATGCACTGTGCCTTATGTGGTGTTGGAATAGAAACTTTCTGAATTATGTAATTCATTAGTTGTTGTGGCCTTGAGGTAAACGTCAGGGCTATTAATAGCCAGTAGCCAAATGCAGCTGTCCCACCAGAAATGTGGCCAGGCCCATATGTTAAAATGATAATAATTTGTATATATTGGGTCGAATAAAATATAATATTACAATGAGTTTCTTTTTCCATTTTTTAATATGGCTGCTAGAAAATTTTAAATAATGTATGTGGCTTGTGTTTTATTTCTACTGGACAACGTTGCCCCAGAGCCTTGGTGATCATTTAACAATAGCAACAAAAAACCCACCTACTATGTCCCGCAGTGCCAGGCATGAGTCTAGGCGTTCCACTCAGATTCCATCATGTAATCTTTATAATGGCTCCATGAAGTAGGTATGTTATTATCATCCCCATTTTACAGATGAAAACTGTGGCACAGAGTAAGCCGTTGAGTAGCTCAGTAATTTGGCTGAAAAATGGAGCCAGGAATGAAACCCAGGGAGTTTGGCTTGAAATGGAACATGGTCTTTTTTATTTTTTTAAGTTTATTTACTTATTTTGAGACAGAGAGAGAGAGAGAGAGAGAGTCAGTCCCCAAGCAGGCTCAGCCATGTCAGCATGGAGCCCAATGTGGGGCTTGAACTCATGAACTGTAAGATCATGACCTGAGCTGAAATCAAGAATTGGATGCTTAACTGACTAAGCCACCCAGGTGCCCCAGAACATGGTCTTGTTTCAAAAAAGTTTCTCTGCTCTTTATGACAGAGATAACAGTGGTTAAAAAAAAAAAGGTATGCAAATAAGCCTTTTCTATCCACTCCAGCTTATTGTTAGAAAAAAAAAATCAAACATCCAAAAGCAAACAAACTAGACATCTTCCTATTTATTGATTACTTTTTTGACGGAACCTCTAAGAAGCACTTAAACAAAATTCACGCTAGGGAAAATATAGGTAGTATCGTATTTTAGACTACTGGAAGCAAATAGTCCTGGGAAAGGGAAGGTTGGGATAGTTTCCAATGGCCAAAGCACCGTCATTTGGGAGCCACTGTTCTAGAATAAAACACATCCTAGTATACTGAACTCAAATGATCATGTTCTCTGAATGATCACAAGCATAACACAGGCACCATCTCAATGTGCTAGTCCTGTTCCTTTGAACTCTTACACCAGCACTGAAGAGTGCCACCATTTTGTTTGGGTGACAAAGTCATGGCACGATGCGTGCCTATTACAGTAGATGTTCAGTGGAACCAAACACCTAAGCCATGCTGACTGCTGGCCAACCAAGCCAACGTGCGATTCCATTAGCAACAATGAATTGAGATCTAGATTATCACACAGGCCGGAGTCAGAGCTCACTGGCTACAGGGCTGGTTTGAATATCCAAGGAGGCTCACAAAAGAGGCAAAATAAGCAGTTGTTCATATCCAGAAGGCTTCAAAGAATCCACATCATACAAGTGCTAACCGTTGCGTTTTACGGCGAACACACTCTCGTCTCCATCACCTACGGGCACTCACTCTGCGTAAGACAGGAGAGAACAGGAAACAGTCTTTGGAGAAAGGGAAGGATGAGGAACTAGGAATGTTTTCCTTCTGACAGAAGCAGACACGGGATTCTGTCTACTTGGTCTTCCGCACTGGCTGTCTGCCTTTCTGCAACGAACATTCTGTGCTAGCTTCCGAAAGAATGTTGGCAGGGTCAGGGTGGGAAGGTCTGAAGCGATAATACTTGGATGGCTAATGGTTTCCTTTCCAAGGGCTGACACCGCCGTGACCTCCAAGCAGTGCGCCAGAAAGGATTCTGTTTGGCCACATGAAAATGAGCTGTTTTCCTTCCTTGGGGGAGAGAGAGAGAGAGAAAGGGAAGGAGAGGAACAGATGAAGCTGTGTCTGATAAAAGGATTAACTAAGGGCGGTTTCTAGTAAAGAAACTAGGAAGCCAATACGATTAATTTATTTCTTCACTATTTCCTTGAAAAAACACTACCTACAGAAAAGTCATATATTGGAAGTCACAGAGCAAAACTCTTTCACTGCTTCTTCTCTCTGAGGGTCTCAGTGGCAGGCAGTGAAGAGCAAACAGCTGTTAACCAAACACTTTCTAAGACCCCCAGTCACCGGATGTCAAGATGCTTCTCACTGACAGCACTGGACAAGACACCCAAGCCTACACCTCCGCCTTTTGTTTGGACCCATGAGATATCAGAAATTCTAATAAAAGCCAGTACTAAACAATTACTACTCTTTGCCTCTCCCCTTCACAGTGTCCTACAAAAAAAGTAACCAGACTTGCATGTCTTAACCTTGTTCTCTCAAGCCCTTGTATCTTTGAAAACAAAAGCATCTATCTTAAGGGACAAAAAAAGGATCCCTTTTCAAAATGCCCTGCCCCAATCCAGGGGAGATAAAACTTTGGATTACGATTTTACTTTATTCTAATAAAACAATGCTGACTTCACCATGAAGAAGAAAACTCATTTCCTAATTCATTGTCTTCTTAGGGCTGGAAATCCTGTCCGGCAACCAAATTTCTAGTACTTCTTTGTTCATCGGAGAAGAAGTAAGAGAAAACAAAATTCTCAAAGTACAACGTCAACAGCAGTGAAGCCAAGTGAGTCTGTGTGGCCTAACTGTAACGTGTGTCTCCTGCACATGGTTCCTTCTAAACGTGCTCCATTTACCCCCAGAGGGACAACACTTAAAGCTTTAGAATGCTACCTGGTACCTTTGATGATTTACTTCAGGATGGACACGGGACCCAAGGCCAGCCAATGTGTTGGCCAGCCAACATCTATTCAGATTCATCTTCTCAAATACTTGAAGTAGGACCCACAGTATTGTTAGCTGGTAGCTGGCATTTGAGTCGAAAGGTAAATAGGTATGAGATTAACCATATTTGGCCAAGTAACCAAAAGAAAACAAACTGGGAGAGAGAAGGGATGAGAATCTTGTGGAAGTACAGAATCACAGAGCTGTGGCAGAAACTCCAAGACTTAAGACCCTGTGTGGCCCCTGAAAGACAGAATGTGCTTCATCTTCTAGTTACGGTCCTGGTTATGACAGCTCCATCTCAGGATGCCTCGACTACTGTTTCTTTAAAATACCCCCTTATGTGAGCTACCTTAAGTGGGTTTCTATTTCTTAAATCCAAAACAGACCTGACCACGACACCATCCAACCCTATTTCCCCCGGTCTCTATTCTGTACCCTCTGCCCTTATTAGGAAAATCTTTGGACTATTCCCCATGGCAGCCAGGTCCACAATCTTGTTGTCTGTGTTCAGTTTTACCACTGATATTATCACATAATTCCAAAACCTCCCCTTGCCCACTACAACATTCCTTAGTCCTAGATGTCATGCTCTGGGAAGACATTTCTGTGAGCAGCTCTAGTAAGAACCTTCCATTTTTAGACCATCCAGGTTAATGGCTCAAATCCCTTTTCTTACAAATCCTACCCATTGTTGTTGGTTCTCGTTTCTGAAATTATGGAGAAGAAACATAATCTTCTACTTCAGTGCATGCTGTATTTCGACGTCTCACATATATCCCCTCTAAGAATTTTCTTCTATCTATTATCCTTCATGAGGTGATTCCAAGGTTCCCTGTCCCTTCTCACTCCCACCTGCCTGGTGGTTCCTATTCCTCTGACATGGCCCCCAAACCCATCTCCATTTCACCAATTTCTAAATGCATCCTCCCATGAAATCAGCCCAGGTCACACTGGGAGAGAAGCGGTAAGTGTCGTGGTCACCAATGTGGGTTTTGGAATCAGACAAACCTGGGCTTGGTTTCTGGCTTCAACATTCATAAGCCATGAATTCTTGGGCATGTTACCCAATCCCTCCAGCCCACGATGTCCTTATGTATACATCTTAGCCCAAGAGCCATCTCTCAACTGTGTTTGCCCACTAAGTTGGCTATAACTAAAGTGTTTGCACACAGAAAGAGTTCGATCGATGCTATTTATTCTTTCATTTCATTGTGTATACAATCCCTCTCTTTTCTGAACTTTGGGTAGGTTTAATGGGTCAGAGCATGATCTCTGGGGTCGGACACCATGGCTTAGTCACTGGCTGTGTGGCCTTCGGCAAGTTAGTTCACTTCTGTGTCTCTCTATTAAATGGGGGTACAAAAGGGTACTTACCGCGTGGGACTGTTGTTCATGAGGATTAAATGGGTCAACACATATAAAGAGCTTAGAAGAGTTTCTGGCACAAGCTGTCATCATCATAGAGGGTAGTTATTCTCTCCTCAAGATCGATACTTACATAATACCCGATTTCATAGCTGCAGCTCTGCTCAGCCAGTTAATTTGCGGCTGAGGGGCCATGTTTCATAGTTTACAATTCTTGGTTTCAAATATGTTTGTTGGAAAGAATGAAGGAATCAACGGGGAGCAGAGGATCAAAATTAAAAAAAAAATCCTTACTGGTGTTCTGTAACAATGTTAGACAGTTCAGTCAACATAAACAAACAAGTAAACACAGAGGCCCCATTTGGGGCTGAATATCTACCTGATGGTAAGAGATGGGGACAGGCTTCCGGAAGACTATCCACTCCACAATTTCACTACATGGTGGGGTGGTCAGAGAACCTGTATACCGGTAATAGCTGCCCAGGGATGCAGGCAGGAGGTCCCGGAGGACGAAAGGATCCAGAAAGGTCTCCTTCTCTGTTTGGAGGAAGAGGGAAAAGAAAGGCACAATGGTAAGTCGTATTATGCTGCAGACACACAGTCAAACCCTCGGCATGCTGGTGCCACATCACAAGCCTTATGTTTGTTTACATCCTGAGAAGCACTAGCATTTGGTGGTGGGAGGGCCACAGAAAACAAAGCAGTGTTTCCCAGGGTGTGTTCTGAGACACCACAGTGCACTGTATTTCATGAAAAACACGTTCCATGATGAGCAACGCAGGGCAATCTGCAGTCCCTCCCTCTTCCCCCAGGAAAGAGCCACAACACTAGCACAGTGAAGTCTCTGAGAAGTCCTGCAGAAAACAAACGGACTTGATTTTATGTAACCCACCCCTTCCCGGTCTTGCATCACCACTGAACCCCTCCCCATCTGATACTTATGAACTAAAAGTCAGTGGAATGAACTCTGGGACGCCCAGGAGAAACTCAGCATGAAAAGAAAACTATAAGCCAATGGTAAAGCTCAATTCCAAAGTTGGTTACATCTCATTATAGTTTCACCCAGTGCCTATCCAAATCAAAGTGAAATCTAACCAACAAACAACCCTGAGGTGAATGGGTTGTATGATGGCCCTGAAAATAGGCTCCTTCTTCTTACAAAAGCAGAGGGGTCTTTCCGTAAGTAGGAGAAATGATATTTTCAGTTGAGACCTAAAAATATTATCTCACGATAACTCTATGAGAAAAACAAGGTGTGGAAGGGAATAGTGCCTGCCCGAGATCACATAGCTCCTAAGTGGCAAAGCTGGGATACGAACCCAGGCACGTTGACACCAAAACTTGGACTGACTCAGCTAAAGATGAAGCTGAAGTTAACTATGTGAATATTGAAGGGTGGGGGCAAAACAGAAGAAAAGCATTTGTGGCTGTGCAAACAGCACGTGCAAAGGTCCGGAGGCAGTAAGAAACAGTGCAGCAGAGATTAGGGCACGGTGTTACAGTTCTCCCAATCAGGCACAGTAGATCATCCAGCCTCTTTCCCAAATCACAGAAGGCTCTACTCTCTTCCTGGGTCTCCAAACAAAGGTTTAGCCCTCCCTGAATTTAAGTCTGGGATTCCTTTCTTATACCTTTTAGGGATATAATAAGGCTATTATAGTCCTGTTAGTGGTTTGCCTTAGCTCCCTGATGGCCTTCACCATGGGCCCAAGGACATTATTGGGGGCACCTGAGGGCCCCAGGTTACTTTCTGGACACATCTGTGCCCACAGGAATATTCTTTCCAGGCTCCCACCCCTCTTTCTTCTTCTTTTATGCAGAACAATCAGTACAGGTATTTGGGCAACTGTGTATCCATAGACTCGAGAGATCTCTGTAACTGGGGGATAATGCAAAACCCCAACAGAAATCAACTCTTCAAAGGAAATTTTTTTTTTTTTTTGCTGGGTGGCTCAGTCAGTTCAGCGTCCGACTTTAGCTCAGGTCATGATCTCACGGTTTATGGGTTCGAGCCCCACATTGGGCTATGTGCTGACAGCTCAGAGCCTGGAGCCTGCTTTGGATTCTGTGTCTCCCTCTCTTTCTGCCCCTCCCCCACTCATGCTCTATCTCTCTCTCTCTCAAAAAAAAAACATTAAAAAAACTAAAAAAATTTTTTCTTTAATGTTTACTTGTTTTTGAGAGACAGAGAGAGCGAGAAAGAGAGAGCGAGTGCACAAGTAGGGGAGGGACAGACAGAGAGGGAGACACAGAATCTGAAACAGGCTCCAGGCTCTGAGCTGTCAGCACACAGCCCGACACAGGGCTTGAACCCACAAATCATGTGATCATGACCTGAGTCGAAGTGGGACCTAGGTGCCCCAAACGACTCTTTTAAAATAATTAAAATGGCAATTTCCTTTTGGTAGAGATTAACTGAATAACACTTCACACTTATTTAACTTTTACTGTATGCCAGGCACTATTCTAAATATTTACATGTTGTAAACATTTAAGCAGTACTCACTGTATGTGTCAGGTCTTTTTCTTAGAACTTTACAATGATTTATTTATTTAATTCTTAATATAGCCCCACAAAGTAGTCCTACTATTCCCAATTTACAGAGCTGGAATGCACAGCCAGGTAGTTGGGTTTAGAGTCCAGGCTTTTATTTTATTTTATTTTATGAGAGACCACGAGTGGGGAGAGGGGCAGAGGGAGAGAGAGAAAGAGAGAGAGAAAGAGAGAGACAGAGACAGAGACTTAATCAGGCTTCATGCTCATCGCAGAGCCCAACGCAGGGCTCAGTCTCCCGACCCTGAGACCATGACCTGAGCTGCAATCAAGAATCTCTCAAGTGACTGAGTCAGCCAGATGCCCTAGGCTTCCATTGTTCTGAAACCATCACTATATGCTTTTAATTTACAGCACTCTGTGTATGTGCTTTTAATAATCCAAATTTACAGATGTGGAAATCAAGGCACAGAGAGTTTAAATAACCAAGCCCAAGGTCACTAGTGAATGCAGAAACAGAAGCACTTATTCATGAGACTCAGAAAACTTGGCCGATTCTCATACAGGTTTTCAATTCCATTTTTTTTAAAGAAAAATTAAGTATTAACTAATAGAGGCAAAAGTCTTCAAATTATAGGGTTCTATAACCAAAATGACAAAAGCGGTTTCTGTTTGGACAAAAGGCCGGAAATCACCGAATTGCTCCTCCGCCCGCTGGCAAGTGTGGGTTTTAATTTCAACCTGGTTACCAGCAGCCTAATGATGGGGTAAATGTCTGCAAGCGAGCTTGGCTGGGACCGGGTTGGCTGGGAGCAGGAAACATGTTGGCCTTTGCTTGCCGCCTCTGTGCCTCCTGGGCTGTGTAAATAGACAACACGAGGCCCCAAGCAATACAGGGGGCATAGGGCCTGGCATCACAAGCCACAACATCACCATCTTCATTGTAGGTGAACTTGGCATCACACCACAGCCCACCGAGCTGCCTTAGGATCAAGGGCTCCAGACCGAACGACCAGAAAATCTTTCGAGTTTTTCCCTAGGAGCCTGATCCAATATGTGGGCTGCAGTTCAGCATGCTGCGGGCAGACAGGTAGAGACGAGAAAATCCCTCCACACTCGCACACCCACAGGGGTGAAGCCCCACCTACAGCATCCAGTCCAGGAACAGGTGGTGGCTTTAAGGAACATGAAAAGATAGAGCAGAAACACCTGCCCCGCCACCCTGAGGTGGCCGGATTTCACAAGGGCACACTGTTTCAGCAGGACTGGGACTCTGAAATATACACAAGTTCCTGTACGGGCTTATGAATTCGGCAGGGACTGATGGAAACCGCAGGTGTGACCATTGCTATAAGTGCAGAAGGGCTTTTTTTTTTTTTTTTTTTGTCCTTGACCAAACCCAAGGGCTTCAGAGGCAGGTTCTAGCATTAACTGATGAACAGGTGCCATCAAATGGGTGGCAGGGCAGGTAGACATGGTGACAGGGACAGAGAAGCAGCTTTGCTGCGTGTTGACTACGCCACAGTCACACCATTGGGTCAGATTCTGAGACCTGGAAGGGGCTTAGACCACCCTAGTTCAGAGGCCTTGGGAGTCAAGGAACCCTTTATTCAAACAAAATCTCACACGGGAAGCAGCCAACTCCAGCAAGTTCAGGGTACAGCCTGTGGTTGGTTGAGCTAGGAGCAAGGGACACCTTGGAAACCACCAATTTAGTCCAATTCTGTAATTTTACGGCTGGGGAAATAGAAGACCAGAGGGATGGTCAAACACTTGAGAACACAGAAATTCAGATGGGATCCTTTCTTCAAAGAAACTGCTCAGGATCTCGTGTGTATCCCAAGCTGGGAGTAGGAGCTGAAAACCAAAATCCAACCACTGCTCTCTTCAGCCCCTCATGTCTCCGTCCCTAAGGAGTTGGGGAGGAGAGAAGATTCCCAGCCCGTAGGGTTCAAATCTCAACTCCCTGACCTGTAAGCTGTGTGATCTTAGTTACTAAAGCTTCCCGGGCTGTTGTGAGCTTAGAACATAGTAAGCATCTCATAAATGACAGATATCATTCTTATTCTAATTCTTAATACTTGTATTATTATTATTACTTTTTTTTTTTTTACGTTTTATTTATTTTTGAGACAGAGAGAGACAGAGCATGAGCAGGGGAGGGTCAGAGGGAGAATCAGTAGGCTCCAGGCTCCAACTGTCAGCCAAACCCCGTCACGGGGCTCATGTGAACTCTGATTGACCGAGATCATGACCTGAGCTGAAGTTGGACGCCCAACCGACTGAGCCACCCAGGTGCCCCTATTATTACTTTTTTAAACTACCAAGGCCTGGCCACCTACACCTTACATAGCTATGTATTTCCTTTAATGCATGCACATGTCTTTTTTTTTTTTTTTAACCTTGATTACTAGTGCCTTAAAGGTGCATCACGTCTGACATATGGCCCATCAACCTGGGCAACACAGGTTAGAATTTTCTTTGCCAAAGCTCTAGTAAGAGCTTTGGAACCAACGGATATTTAATAGCTGTGCGACTTTAGGGAAAGGTCTTAAGCTCTCTGAGCTACTTCCCTTATCTGTAAAATGGGAATTCTGAGAGTATTTACTCTTTGGGATTGTTGTGACAATTAAGCAAGCTCATAAATATAAGGGGCTTAGCACAGTGCCTTGGGAGCCCTGATTTATCAAGGCAAGCACTTGGCTGAGAGCAGACCAGCTCATTTTGTGTTTTAAGCCAGGGATTGGCAAATGTTTTCTGTAAAGTGCCAGATAGTAAATATTTTAGGTTTTGCAGGCCAAGAGGCAAAATCAAAGATGTCACACAAGTACTTATATTAACAAACACATTTCCACCACCTTATTATTATTTTTTTTTGCACAACCTTATTAATGATATTCAAAACACTAATAACAGAGAACAATTTTAAATCGATACACCTGTTATAAGAAGAATGAATTGTTTTGTGGGGGATAACATTTCACTTAGAGTTTGAATGTAAAAACCATTCGTAGGTCAAGGGCCATACAATGATAGTCAGTGA